CCACTGGGATTAAATGTATTTGTATGTGGCTTTCCAAAATTAAACTTGGACAGTGGCAAAGAGGGACTTGGGTGTGAAAATGCAATTAGCCATGACTCAGGACTCTTGATATGCAGGGGGACCAATGAGTTCTTGCATGGGAACTTGAAAAAGTGGCAAAACCAACTTACTGTGTGTTAATATGAGCAGAGTAAATAACACAAAATGTTATTAATGTTTGGTGTTCAGTTCCAAGCAGCTCCTTTGGGTGATGTAGACACAAGTGCACCTGGCAGGTGATGGTAAATGATGTTTTTCTTGTGGAATAGTAATTGTCTTTCTGATAGTAACATTCATTCCCTTTTCTTGAGAGTTCTGAGGTCCTGAAAGAAAGACATTATAAGAATTCTGATATGTTATTTTTACATAATGGTCTCTCACAGACTTCCTGTGGTGGCAATAAGCATCACCCATCAGCTGGGCCTTGAAACAGCTTTTCCATCTTAAAGATTAATTCATGGAGATCCTAAAAGGCTTGGCAAAGGCCAATGAAAAGGCAAGGCTTTCCAATCACCCTTCTCAGTGGTTGTAGCAGCCTCGTTCTCCACCTTCCAAAATGTGTTGGATAACATTTTCTCTCTGGATACAATAATCATTTAGGGAAGGTCCTAGAGGGAAAAGAGAATGGTCCTGTGCCTGTTCATTAATGTGTGGCAGAGACAATGCCTGTCCTTTTTTCATGGCTGTCAGGCATTGCAGGGTGATTTTGGCACCCAAGGATGGCAACACAAGTGGGCATTGTAGGTAAATGAGCAGGAAAAGGGGTGGGGAGGACAGCATTCTGTTGGTTTATTGCATCACTTAAAAAATAATTTAACTTTTAATTAAAGGAGTTTGGGAGAGTGCTAGGTCTTTATGCTTCCCCCCCTTCTGTCATCCAAATTTTATGCTGCCACTTTTAAAATGCAATTTTTAAATGCAGTTGGGATTCAACTTCGTCCTTCTAGTTTTCTCAAGAGCTGTTTCTCTCGTATCTGAATCTTCGTAGGATGGAGACACAGCCACGACTGATTTCTGTGCTAGTGACTGCATCTCTGATTCAGAGTTCCTGTGCTCTGAAGCCAGTAATGATTCACTCTCACAGCAGTGGTGTGAGCAGTCTCAGCTTTTCTGTGCCATCTGTGTGAGGGAGCTGAATCTGCAGAAACGGGACCCTGTGCACATGGCTTCTCCTCTGCTCATGGATGAAAATATTAAAGCAAATCCGTCTGGTCCATGAGATGTTTTCTGTGTCAGGAAGGGAGTAAAGCTGCCTGTCAAACCAAGCTGTTCTCCCTGATGAAAGGGGGCTGTTTTTAAACACTCCTTTCCATAGTATTTTGCACGCCAGCCATGTGTGCTCTCTCATCTGACATCTCATTGAGATCCTTGGCTCTGGTACTGCAGGAGGGAAGTGTGTTCTGGGAAGGAGGGAAATGATCTCTCAATATGTACACAAACACATGTGCACACACACACACATACCTTTTAAATCAATCTAAAAGAATTGAATTTTTCTATTTTTTTATTTTTAGGAATGAGAAAAAAATTAATCTGGTTGAGCCAGACTTAAATGCTTCCCTTTTGCTTGGATTTTCTATTTTCTCATGAAGATATTAGAAAGAAATGCTCTGAGCTATTATTAGATACAAAGGTAGAGATAGAGGGCAAAGGGTTCATTTACAATTCTTACAGCAGACCATTGAAGCTAAGGGGCAATTGATGAGCAGCTTGAAAATATAGATTCATCCACTAAGCTTAGGGAGTATTTCCAAGGGTTTGTGCTGGTCTGGGGATCTAACCCTTTGTACAGCAGTAAAACCCACTAGGTGGAGAAGAAGAAAACAAGTGGGTTGTTGGTTGTTTTTTTTAGTTAATGAAAGAAGTCACCTTGCAGGGAGAAGCTTGGAAACAGAAACTGATATAAAGTCATGAATTGATATAAATGCACTGCTTTTGAAGGAAGCAACTGGACTTCAGCTCTGTGCCAGGAGATGGGGAAGCACAAAGGTTATACACAGACACACATTCTTTATGTTTTGGTGTGGGAACCCAGGACATTCCTCTGGCTGCCCTGGATGATTCAAGACCCTGGCAAGGGACTCAAAGATTTACAAGCCACAAGAGTTTGAGAAAAATGGTAGTTAATGTATCACAGGGTGAAAAAGTAGAATTTTGGGGATTTAGAATGGGGGTTCAAGAAGCAAGATGGAGGAATCTAGGCATGTCCTTCTTCTTCTTCTTCTTCTTCTTCTTCTTCTTCTTCTTCTTCTTCTTCTTCTTCTCCTCCTCCTCCTCCTCCTTCTTCTTCTTCTTCTTCTTCTTCTTCTTCTTCTCCTCCTCCTCCTCCTCCATCTTCTGCTGTGATGGTGACACTTTTTGATTGGTTTAGTATAGAGACAGACTGTCTAACATAGGTGATAGGTATTGGAAAATATTGTAAATAAGTACATGTAGTTCTTAGTATAAAAAGTTAGCACCACCCAAAGGGCACATGCTGTGCCACAACCTGACCTGCAGGACAGATCTCAGCAGGTCAGAGAAAGAATGTAACAGATAAGAAAATATAAACAACCTTGAAAAGCAGAACCGATGAATCTCGATTTCTTCGGTCGCGGAGCTGGGAAAAAGAGACTTTCTGACACCTCAGGGTCATCTCAACCACAGAAACCTGAGATTTTGGGAAACCGAAGTCAGTTAATGCCTGATGATGGGATATCATTATAACCCCTACTTCACATCCATGATCTCAGGGCAATACTGCAAGAAGCAGATTGATCATGTTGGGCAGGACAGCCCATGGCATTAGAGTGTGCTGCTGCAGGAGAAATCCAATGCCATAAAGGTTTTCTAGCCCTTCCCTAAGATGCAGTGGGTGATTATCACTTCCTTTCAGAGAATCACGGAGATGGGCAGGGACCTCTTGAAATCACTGTCCCATCCCTGCTCGAGCAGGGCCACCTAAAGCCCCTTGCCATGGACCATGTGCAGATGGGTTTTGAGAATCTGCAGGGATGGAGACTCCACAACCTCCCTGGGCAACCTGTGCCAGTGCTGGGCCACCTTCACAGGAAATAAATTATTTCCTGGTGGTCAGAGGGAAGCTCCTGTGTTTCAGTGTGTGCACAGTGATCCTGCCACGGGGCAGCACTGAGTCAAAGAGCCTGGCTCTGTCCTCTCACCTCCTTCCAGGTGTTCGTCTATGTTGCTGAGATTCCCTGGAGTCTTTCCCAGCCTGAGCAGTGCCAGTGCTCACATCCTGTCCTCATGGGAGGGATGCTCCAGTCCCTTAATCCTCCTCATGGCCCTGCATTGGAGTCTCTCCAGTGTATCCCTGTCTCGTGTAATGAGGAGCCCAGAACTGGACTCAGCACTCCAGGACTCTTCAACAATGCTCTAATTGTCAAAAAAAAAAAAAAAAAGAAAAAAAAAAAAAGAAAAAAAAAAAGAAAAAAAAAAGAAGAGAGAGAAAGGAAATTTTGGAACAGGGGCTGTTCCAACTGGGACCCCAGCACTGGTTTTGGATAGCTTCAGCTTGAACACTGAAGGGTGTTTTTTTGTGCTCTTTTTGCCAAACCTCTTGTATCTAACACTGCTGGATTTGGGCATCTCTGGTTGAGGACAGTTTTTCATCTGGGTACCTCAGCTTTGCTGGCCTGACCTCTGGAATAAATGTTCCTTTCTGAACTTTTTTCTTCTTTGGCAATAACTTTAGTTTGTTTTTTATCCAGTGGCTGTGTTGAGGCTTGTTCAGTTTGCCAGGCTAAAGGGCATCACAAGAACATGCATCATTTTGCACTTTTTGTCCAAGGCAACAAAACAAAGCAAAGTTAAAAAAATAATTTTGGTGCAAATTTTTTTTTCTGTGAAAACTCCTGGAGCATAAAAATAGTGTCTTTCCTTGAAGAGGGGATATTACTAATGTAAATCCAATGCAGAGGAATAATATGATGCATGTCAAAAGGCAAGCATCCAAGGAGGAGCAGGAGTGATGGAAATGCCTCATGGGCATATGAGATTGTGGGGATAGGTATTCATACAAAGGATGCTTTCTTACATGTGCCCAGGGCTTTCTCTTATCTCTGAACATGAACCCATAGTGAAATAGAAATGTTCCTGTATTAATAGTGCATTGGAGATAACCCTCATCTGAAAAATACAGTAATACTGCACAACTGGGAACCCTTTCAGAGCAGGGAATTGGACTGGCAATTTCATAGTGTGTTGGTAATGAAACATTTTGGTTCTGTATAAGCAAATGGGCAAGGTTAATGGACACATTACTCTGGCTGTCATTGTCCCAGCAGTAACCAATTTGGAGGCTTTATATTTTCTGCTGTCCCAGTAAGGGAAAGAAAAGTAGAAAATTAAAAATAGAAATCCCAGAGTGATTTAAAGTGCAAAGAGTGAACAAGCTTGTAGTACTCCAGTATAATTTTAAAATCCTGCTCTTCCTCATAATCAGTATTTTAATTTATGTAATACATTGCAAATTCTGCCAGTATCTGTCCTGCTCCAAAAGCTCAACTCCACACAGAAGGATTTATTCTGGCTGTAACACATGAACATGAGCCTCCAGCCCTGGATCTCTCTAGCTATTGTTTGTATTGATGGTTCCTGTTTGTATTTCCCTTCACCTCGTGCTGTTGATTTGCAGAACCATGAGAAATGGTCTGTGGCTTTGGCCTTCAAGGGAGGAGGTTAAAAAAATATCTTCTGGTGCCTGTGTATATATCATAATTTGGTTTTTTTCATAGCTCTTTCAACAGCTGTGGACAGACATCAGCCCCTCATGAGCTGTTTTTTCTCAAGCAGGTGCCCTGCACAACAGCACAGCATTGAGTTTTCTCTCCCAGGATTAACTGTCCCACACTCCTGGTTCCATTGAGGTTACTTTTTTCTTGTTGAGCCTCCTGCCAAGATTAATGCAGTTGCTGAAGCAGGTGTCCAGCCTAATGAGGACCTGTCTCCTTGCTTTGCAGACATCCTGGTGGATGGCAAGGTGTGTGACTGCGACGCCGTGGTGACGTGCCAGGTGGGGGACCCTGTGTCCCTGCAGGTGAAGCTGACCAACTGGAGCAAGCACAGCGTGGGGCCCTTTGCTCTGACCATGATGCCCTACCAGGACTACCAGAATGGGGTGCACAACTATGAGCTGCAGGATGCCATCACCTTCGTGGGCTCCAACACCTTCCACATCGACACCGTGAGTTCTTTGGTGACAACTATCAGCATTTTGGGTGATGTGCATTTGAAAGGGGCTTCATTACTCTATTGTACATTTTAAAACAGATTAATTTTTTGAAATACCCATGATTATGGCAGCTTTTGCTAACAGGGCTGCTGCATTCATCTGGAATGGTCTCTGAAATGGTTTAAGACTGCAATTTCCTACCATGTAAACCACTAGTAAATTATCAGAGGCAGCAATTTCTGGTCACTCCAGATCTGGCTGAATGTGAATGGGTAACCCTAGACTGAATGTTCAATACCATATTGCCAGTCCCTTGAGTCTCCCAGCACAGCCTGCAGTAATAGATTTTAAATAACTTTTTTTTTTTTTTCTTCAGTCCATAAGAAACATTCCCAAGGCTGAGCCAAGGAACTCAGCAAATCAGTTCTAGTCAGGTTCTGAGGAAACACAACAGACTGCAAAAAGAAAATGCTAAGCATTAATGGCCAATCTGATGAGCTGGTTCATTTCCTGGATGCTTAGCATACTGTTATAAAACCATAAAGAAATGCATAAAATGAGGCAAAAAAAAAAGGCCTCTTTTTAAAACAATTGAGATTATGATTTTTCTCTCAATTTCTCTAGATTCAAGTCTAGGAGCTTTTTGCTTCTAAGGCAAGAAAAATAAAGATAACACCATTCTCTCCCACATCCTTCCCTCCCAAAAATACAACAACAAAATACCTGGAATGAAAATTCGCAGGCAATGCTGCAGAATGGAATGAGAAGCATTTCTGGTAACTCATGAAATAAACATGAGGAATGGGGTGTGTGTTTGGGATTGTGCTTAGGACCTTTGTTTAGGTCAGCTCTTCAGATTGTTAATAAAATGTACCTGTCAAAATTAAATATATAAGTTAACTTTAGTTAGAAAGAAATGAAAGGTTAATCACAGAGACAGTCACCATGCATATTTTTCAATTATGCATCGCAGAAGAAAATATTTCTAAAAGTTAATGAGCATGAAATATACCATCAGCTCGATTTTTAATGGGGGCTAACTGCATTCTTGTAGCTGAATAATTTAAATATGCCAACAGAAATCATCCAGGGATGGCTTTCTTTGACTCTGGTTCTGACAATGTGGAGTTTTTAATCAGAGTGGTGGTGTTTGGATGCCCAGCTGCCAAAGGGCCTGACCCTCCAGGCTAATGAGGGAAAAGGGAGATGTCAGTGTGATGTATTCTTACCTTCTGATTGAGTCTCCTACGGGGCAGAAAGTCAGGAGGTCGCGTCTCTGGTGCCTGCCCAGGCAGCCTTCTCATACGTTCCGGTCCCTGCCTTTGCCCCATTGCTCAGGAGTTTGACATTTCTCCTGTAAACACAATCCCCAAGAAGTTAAAAATAAAATTGTTTTCTGCGGCTTGTCCTCCTCTCCATACAAAAAAGGTGAAATGAAGAAAATGTCGACTCTTAGACAAGAAGGGTTACATTTCAATGTGTGTGGTGCTGGCACCACACAGGCTCCAAGGGAAAGTGCTTGGTCACCTTCTTTGGGGTGTAGAGCCTTGATTGTGGAAGAAAATCCTTTATGTCTGCCTTTATGTCTTTCTTCCCTGATAATGACTAATTTAGGAATAGAAAATTGATTTCAGAAAGTTCCACCTGTTTGGGGGGAGGAGGGGAAGTCCTGGTTTGTGTATTTGATGCTTCAGAGAAGAGCCACCATGCTCAGAACTGTGCTTTTGCTCTGAGTTTGGCCAAAATTCAGACAGGCACTGGTTAGAAAACCATAGAAGCTCATGGCTGAGTGGGATGAGAGACAACCTGTTTCTCTTTTTTGTAAACAAAAGTTGAGATACTGGACCAGATTCCCTGCTGGTTTTCAACTCAGTGCTGCTGTATGGAAGCTGTAAAAAATGTCCCCATCATTTTTTTAACCTGAGGTCATGGGCACTTGGCTATTTTTCTTGTTTAGTGGAAGTGGCTTGAGGTGCTGCCCTTTCCCAGCTGCTTGTGAAAGATGCTCCCCTCTCCCCCTGCAGGCCCATCAGGACAGACGCTGCGAGAACTTGTTTTTGTGCAAAGTTGTCCAGTTTAGCAAAAACCACCTTGGTCAGCAGTTTAAGTTAATTGGGCTGACTTCACACTGACACTGGCACAAGGATGCTGACATGATTTATTGCAGGGCTGAGCTGGGTGGGAGGGAGGATGGAGAATCAGGTTTGGTTTGGTGCATCACTGGTGCGTGGTCAAGAACGAGTGGGAGCATCAGGTATTGCAGCAAGTGGAGATACTTCTCACACCCTGAAAATTTACTCTGTTGTCATGCAGAAACTTCATTATTGGTACAAAAAAACCCCAACAGATCCCTCTGCCTTTCTAAATGTTAAGTCTCATGCTCAAAATTCACTGTTATTTTTGATTCCAGACTAAAAAGTCTCAAAGCAGTTTCTGCTGCTACCTGGAAGACAAAGGACATATATGGGAATTTTCAGGATGCACCTGCTGCTTTGCAGTATGAATATAAATTGTTGAAAGTGTAAAAGTCACACAATTTTGTATTTCCCTTTCTTGTGGCTTGAAGTCCAAGTTAGATTTATCTTGGAAGCAATGTAGTGATGCTTATTCACCTCTTTGTGCTTTTACCTCAGTTTGATGCAGCAGCCTGGGTTTGTGTCACAAAGTCTCTGCTGGATATGATACTTCAAAAAGCAAAGTCTTTTCTGGAAAATTTTTGAAGGATATTGAGTTATTTCCATGCATTTTAAATTAAGTAAAGTCTGCATTTTTAAGCATAACTTCTAATTTGGCTAACCTTACTTTTCTCTGTATTTGACAGAAAAAGTGACTTTCCCCATTATGACTTAAATATTTAACATTTTTTATTCAGTGGGTGATTTTGAAACATGAATTAACATGGTGGAACTTACACATTAAAATACAATGGATTTTTTTTTGTGTTGCTTCACTACATAAAGTTTATCTTTTACCCTATTATTAATTTTTCTTAGTGCTTACCTCTGTTTTTTGTTGAATAATTAGTTGATGAGACAGAGCTGGTTTTTTACAAATTGAAACCAAAAATATTGCCTTCTGTGGAGAATCCTGTAACTCCCAGCAATTCATCCTCTCTTGTTGCCCCTGCTTGTGCCATCACTTATCTTCAAGCAGGATTTTTCCCTGTGTGTGTTATCACACACAAGCTCAAGCGATTGGTAGTGGGAGATGAGGAGAAATTCATTAGTAGATGGTCATTTTGAATCAGCTCAGAAGCCATGGCGAACATTTGCTCACTTCTGGCAGGTCCTCTGTGGCCCATCTGGAACAAATTATTTTTCTTGGCACTGTTTTATTCACACTGTAAACTCTTTGGGGCAGCGAGCAGTAGCTGGCACCAGCCCTAATCTCCAACTGAGCTCCCTAAGTACTACAGCAGTATAAATAAGTAGTAATTAGTTCTAAGCAATCACAGTCCCACATGGTAGCCTAAATCAGGGAAGGATTAGGATGCAGCTAGAAACTTAATTTTTCTTCTATCTTGATGGAACAAAGGACTAATGTGGACTTTTTTCCCTCAATTTTCGATCATTATTTTCTGAGGTACAAGCTGCTCATCTTTGTTTCCATGAATGGTGGAATTTTAATAAAATCTATTTTAACTCTGCCCTGGCTCAGGAGTGTCAGCATCCTGATGAATGATTCAGCAGACACACAGGCACAGGTCTGGGCAGTGGCACATCAGAGCTGTGTGTGCTGGGCTGGAGGACAACACGAATTTGGTCTGGGTCAGGCACGAGTTGTGCTCCTTATGGCTGAGCTGGGTCAGGCACTGCAGGCTGTGGGGTGCTGTGTCCTGCCAGCCATGGAGGTGACCACCTCAACAGGCCACTCTGAGTGGCTGAGAAAATCATCAGAGTAATGCAGTTGTCTTGGTTTGGAAAGACAGGAGTCTGCTAAGGGAAGCAGGAGCCTCCCCTGAAATGGAGAATGTAAACCCCACCCCTCTGAATTGCTATAAATTTTAAATTAAGGGGCTCTCAGGCAAAAAATATGGGAACAGGAAATAACAGTTCTTTAATAGGGAAGAAAAGTAAAAAAAAAACCAGGATAAAATAAACAATGCAGTTCACTAGAACAACACTGACAGAGTCAGAACCCAACCTGACACCCTGTGGGTCAGGGTGTTGGTAGCAGTCCAATGGGAAATGTGGCTGCAGTCCTCCTGCAGTGTCAGGGGTGGTTCTGTTGGAGCAGGGATCCTGTAGAGAAGGATGTATTCTTCCTCCAAAGATCCAGTGGGAGAAGAGGCAGCTGCTGTTCCTCTGGGGAATCCCATGGAGAAAGCCGTGCTGGTGTCTCAAAACCTCTGGATTATATCTGGGTAGCAATGCTTGGCTCCTCCCTCTGGGTGGAGCATCTCACAATGGGATGTTGTAGTTCTTATCAGTCATGCAGTGACATTCAATAGTTCTTATCAGTCATGCAGTGACATTCAATAGTCTGCTATCCTGAGGGAGGTGTGAATGTGGTCAATCAAAGAGAGAGATAAAGCAAACTGCCCACTTGACAAAGGTAATCTGCCATACAGATGGTAATGGAATACATCTTGCAGTGCAATCTGGAACAGCAGTGTAGGGAACATTTTGCCTCATTCTGTGTTTGATCAGGTGAGTCCTTGTGTTGTACAGCTGGTTTTCATGTGGACATCCACTTTACAGACACTTTGATGGATTCAGTTCCAGACTGAGACACCTGAATGAGGAGGGGTTCCCAGGGGTGGTGCCCCACTGAGCTCCCATGAGGCCATGGAGGTGTGGTCTGCAGCAGGTGGAACCTGGCTCAATAACACAGGGCTGAGATGCCTAAAAGCAGATGTTTGCCATCATATAGGTGCTGTGGATATCCTACCAGCCACCAGATGCTGCCAGAAATCCTGTGAGACCTCCTGGGCATCTTCCCAGTCCTCAGTGCCTTAGGCCATCCCATTACCTGTGTTTAGGCAACTCTATTCTGGCTCTGCAGGCTGCCTGGGGAGCCCATTCTGTGTCTGCCCCACTGTCTCACTGACTCGGTATCCTCCTTTTGTAGTAGGACCTTGGATACCTTGGACTCCTAAATGAAGCTTTAACCTCAAAATTAGTCCTGTGCCTGGTGTGGCAGCTGGGCTGGATGTGACCCTCTGCTGCCCTGACTGCTGCAGCTGGATGTCTGATATTTTGGGAATCTTTGTAGGCACCCCACTGGAGACACAGCCTTACTTTCCAAAGTTGGTTCCTGTTTTGAAGGAAACATCTGGTAACTTCTGCAGAGCCACCTGCACTTGAGCAAGGCAAAGGTTTCAAGCTCATTTTGCTTCCCTGTTCCTTCTCCAAACCACAAGTGTTGATGCAGTGGTGGTGGCACAACAGAAGTGGGTAGAGCCCAAACTGTCAATGTTTGGTGTTGATGCCAATGAGCCTGGAGCCACCTCCCTGCTTGCCAAGGGCTCTGAGCTGTGCTATCACAGGCATTCCTCCATGGTGCAGCCAGATGAGGAGGAATGGACCAGGAGCTTGGAACAGCTCAGGGTGCTCAGGAGGCTTCGTTTGCTTTTTGACTGCACCCACTGCTGGCATTAGTGCCTGCCCCTGCCCTACTCTGCAGGCAAGGCCACATCAGCTCCAGTGAGGCAAAAATCAGGCAGGCAGCCCTGGGAGAAGGGCAGGGGAGCATGAGGGGACATGTTTGGATGTTGTTCTGCGTGTCCAGACGCGGTGCCAGAGGGCAGGAGCTGTTACCCAGCCAGGGGGGAGATGGCAAGGACAGGGTCAGGGGAACAGCTGTGCCTGCTCTGGTCCCTCACGTGGATGACATGATGATGGTACAAGTTTGCTGTAGGTCAGCAGAAGTGCCCAGCACCAAAACCAAAGGGAGCCTGGGCTCTCCAGCTCTGAGGATGCGAACAGAGAGCCCTTGTGCAGGAGCTGCAATTTAGAGTCATGGAAGCACAGAATGGTTTAGGTTGGAAGGGAACTTAAAGCTCATCTCATTCCAGCAGGGACATCTTCCCCTATCCCAGCTGCTCCAAGCCTCACCCAGCCTGGCAATGAACACTTCAAGGGATGGGGCATCCATAAATTCCCTGGGCAGCCTGTGCCAGGGCCTCACCACCCTCACAGTAATATCCACATCTATCTATATCTATATCTATATCTATATCTATATCTATATCTATATCCATATCTATATATCTCTATCTCTATATGTATGTATGTATGTATGTATGTATGTATCTATCTATCTATCTATCTATCTATCTATCTATCTATCTCCTAAATTTCCCCTCTTTAAATTTGATCCCTTCACTCTTTGTCCTATCACTACACATCCTGATGGAGAGCCTTTTCCAGCTTCTCTGTAGCTCCTTCAAATACTGGAAGGTGCTGTGGGGTCTTCACTCAACCTTCTCTTCTCCAGGCTGAACAACCCCAACTCTTTCAGCCTGTCTTCACAGAAAAGCTGCTCCAGTACCTTCAGCAGCTTTGTGGCCCTCTCTGGATTTCTTCCAGTTTAGGGAGGCCTAACAAAGCAGACTGATAGCCCAGGGGACTATACAGGATGAAGTCTCCTGGCTAAAGGACCCAGCAGTGAAAGTTCAAAAAAAGCTAGAACAGGAGAAAATGGAAACAGCTCATTCCCTTCACTTCTGAAAGCTGCAGAGAATCTGCCTTGTGGAAAGTGGCTGGAAGTTTTCAGCTTTCTGGAATATTCTTGAGTTCCAAGCACCCCTGAAATCTTCTGTTGATCATTTGCCTTCCCCCTGTTCCCCACCATGACCTTCCCATCATCCCTGTTCTGGTCTTCCCAAGCAGTGGCAAGTTGTCCTTCAGCAAAGGGTGTCCCAGTCCACACCCCATTGTTCATGGCCCAGTTTACCATATAATGACATTTTTTGTAGTGGGGAACAGCCCTGCTCGCCTGTCTCAGAGCCTCAGCCTTGACTGGGACTCTTCTGCTGGGATGAAGCTGCCTTTTCACAATTTTGGGAAAAATCCCATCCAGTGGAATGGCTCTGTGTTGATTTGGTGTTTTGCATTTGCTGTAGCTCAGTTCTAGGCATCCTGAAACTGGATTTAACATCTTGTGGAAGCAGATACTAATTCAAACATTATCACATGCTGAACAGTGGTGGGAGTGTTAAAGTTAGAAATTACTGAAGTGTCTTGCTGAAATGATGGACTGAGATATATTATTTGTTGTGAAGATATGGATTGTAGATGGATTTGTGATGAAGGAAGATACATAAATGTAGAAACAGTGTGAACTCTGTATATTTAATTTGGACAAGTAAAATCAGGATGGCTACTGTTTTTGAGAAGTTTCTTGCAAAACCTCATTATTTCAATGATAGTCATCCAAGTTCCTGATTAGAATTTGCAGTCAGATTGTGTCTCAGTAATAAGGGAGAATGAACTTACTTATTGCTAAGCTGTTAAATGGTGTTTAAACCATGTATTTAGCATTAATTCAGAGATTTAGAACTTTAATAGAGATGTTGGTAAATACAGTCTAAGGAGACATTAAGGGTGATTTCTACCTTAAACAAATTTTGGTTTGGAATCAGTGACTCTTAAAAGTTCATATTCTGTTTTGTGCTGAGTGGCACAGATTTACCGCATGAGTGAATAACAGGATTAATTTTTTTAAGTAACATTGTTACTAGAATAGGGACGAGATGTTTACTCCTTTTTGTATGAAAGCATTATTGAGATGTGAACCTGGAGTACTCTGAGACCCTTTGAAGGAGCTAATGAATTGCAAACTGCAATTAATTTGCTTTGTTGATGGTTTATTTGTACTGATTTTTGTGTTCTTTTTACCAGGTAAAGCCAACCAAAGACTCTGTGTACTTTGGAGCACTTCTCTTCCTCTACACGGGCGATTTCTACCTGAACATCAAATTCCATGAAGACGGCAGCAGCAGGGAGCTGCCTCTGTCCTGGCTCTGCCTTCCCAGTGTCCACATCCGTGCCACAGAGCCCGTGGCCCCAGCTCAGCTGTGAATGTGGAATGTGTGAATGTGCCCTGGGTGCTATTGATCACCCAGAGCACACAGCAGAGCTTGGCACAGCCTCTGCTTGACCCCAGCTTGTTTCTGCCCAACCCCAGGACACAGTCTCTGCTCTGGAGGAGCAGCTGAACACTTTCTGAATTGGCTGACAGTCATTTGGACAGCTGCTTCAGCTAATTTCAGAGGGAGAGAGATTATAACTGTGCTGAAGTTTTCCTCTGTTTTCAGAAAGCCTTTGAAACTATTTGCATTATACTTCAATGTGCTCCATTGATATCAGTGGTTTGAAAGTGTCTTGACGGCTGAATTTTGCAATGTATTTGAAGGTCTTAAATCCTGTTTGAATAATCCTGTTTGATCATTTTTTTCAGTAAGATTTGTGTGTCTGTATGAAATTCCTTCTGGTTTATGCTGGACCCATGGCACGTTCCCTTGGGATATAGATCTCTGTTAGATTTGTTCTCTGGCTTGCTCATGTTCATTTGTTTGCTGAGAATTTGGTGTCTTTGGTAGCAAATAGCAGTAGTGGTGCTTTTCAGTGTGCTACTGAAAGTAAGAATAGCCTCCAGTTATTCTCTGCCTCCCCTGAGCCCAGTGCCACTTGCTCCTGGTAAAGTCACTGCCTTTAGTTTGGCAGATCTATGAACTAGAAAGGAGAGAGGGTGAGGAAGAGCAAAAAGAGTTTCGTCCTTGGGAGAATAAATAAGCCAACTTTTGGGCTGCCTAAGGCTTGTCTGTGAATTTAGGCTTTCACAGTTCTGTTCTACACGGTCATAGTCACTTGAAACATTTGCAGACTCTTAAAGATCCACCAGAATTAATCAGATGATCATTAATATACTTTTCATGAGTTTTTGCAAACTCTTCTCACCAGATTTTTCATACTGATATACTGCTTTTTAAATGTGTCTAGTTTTTTCCTTTTTCTTTTTGTTTTCTTAAAGTTTGGGGGTTTTTTTAAGTTTAATTATTAAGCAGTTAAGGCCATGGAATTCCTGAGTGTGAGAGTAGTTGTTGAATGTACAGATAATTTAGCCTATTTTTCAGAATGATGTTTTTGTATAGCGAGACATGTTTTTACCCCATGTAAAGCAGGGAGATGTTTTAGCTGTATGATTAATACATTATTTCATGGACCATATGTTTAAAAACTATCTCAGTCTTTTCTTAAATGCACAGTTAAATTTGGTGGTAGTGTGCTTTGGGGGTGGATACACCGAGATGTGGCAGGGACACTCCAGTTAGCTCTACATGATTTAAATCCAGATGCACAACCTCTCTGCAAATTCTTTGTTTCTTTGGAATTCATGCAGACATGGGCCCCACTGAATGCCTGGCCTGACCCTTACTGCTCATTCTGGCTCTCTGCACCAAGCCCAGGGGTACTTTTAGGTGTGATTGGTGTTTCCTACAGTGCTCCAAACCCCATTCATTGCATGCTTGCAAGTGACTGTTCATCCTAAAAGTATTCCCAAGCTGGGGAACTGTGGCTGTAGCATGGTAGTTGCATTTCCAGTGTATCTCTACAAAACTGGAACTTTAAAAACCTGTGTTGTGGCAATGTTATCAATGTTTGTGCTTGAGCTGTGGCTCTGGACTTTAGCCTTGAAAGTGGAGGTTTTCAGTCTTGACCTGATGAAAATCTGAGCCCTGCTGAGGATTTATTTGCAATCATTCCCTGCTCTGTCAGATGCCAGTGAGGTCCAGTAACAAAACCCCTGGAAAAAGGGTCCAACAGCTGAGTTGGGCCTGTTTTTCTATGTTGGTGGAGCTTGGCTGACCAGATTGTGCCATGAGGCTGAATTCTCTGTCACTGGATAGGTAACACAGAAAAATGAGATCCAAGGAGAGCAGGAACTAAACCAGTACATCTTCTCTAAAATCTTGGTTTTGACATGAGTGTCTGGACTATGTTGCACAACACTGTTGGAGCAAAATTCAAATTGGGTTTTATTCAATGTTCCCAGAAGATAATCTGCAGATTCTAGGACTACAGCTAAGGCTTTATAAGGACCACATTGAAATAAAAATATTTTAAAGTAGACGCTGTTGTAGTCAGGATGCTTCAATTTACTCAGCTGAGGGCCTGTTCTCTAATTATTTTTCAACAGCATTCTCTGAGAAGAGAGGCTCTTGTTCTGTGGAGCTGTCCTGGTTTGCAGCATTCCAGTGCCTTTTACTTATGAAGGATCCTTATCTACAGCCCACTGAAGTTGTTGGAATGGGAACAGGTTTTATTATAAGAAAAGCAGGCTGCATATTTTCTAGGTATCCAATATGCCATTATAAATCTGCCATATGTGCACATAAATATAAGTTCTTATGTGTGAGCTGACCCTTAAAGGTCTATCTGTTCATTATGTAGCAGACTCTGTCCCTTGTCAACTTGGACACTGAGTTGCTTTTGGCATTTATGATATCTTCCCCAGTTTTCTCAGAGTTCTGCTTGTCTTGGTGAAAGAGATGAAACACAAGAAGTTCTTCCTTTCTGCGGGTCATTTCTAACTTGTCCAGAAGGAAGATATTTAAGTGTTAGTGTAATTTGGAGAGGGGTTGAGGGAAAGGTGCTTAAAATCACTGGGGTTGCTGTCAGGATTGGTCCTTGTACTGCTTGAAAGAAGGATGATATTTTTCTTATTTGCTTTCATTTCTTGGTACTGAAAACTTTTTTTTTCTTCCTCTGAAACATCCAGCAATTTTTTTGAACATGATGAGCTGAACTGTTCATTGTAAATCTGATACGAACCAGTGGTTGCAATAAATTATTCCTAATTTAAATGGCCATTGCTGAGAGCAGATGTTGATCCCATATATGAATGCACTGGAGAAGCATAAGTTATGTAACTTTACCTGAATAAATACTTGTGGCTTGTAATTTACACCTCTTCCAGTCTCTTTAGTCTGTAGCCCTTGGTGCTGTTGTGTGATTTTGCTGATAATAATGTGCATCCCTTGATTCTGTGTTATGTCTCTGAAAGGATGTGTTGGACCCTGGAACTGAAATTTCCTCTTCACGCAAGTGTGGTGTTATGAGGTCCCTGGGACGAGGTGAGAGATGAGAATTTGGCTCAAAGTTTTCAGAAGGCTGATTTATTATTTTATGATGTTATATTATATTAAAAGAAATTATATACTAAAAATATACAAAAGAAAGAGGATATATCAGAAGGCTGGACAAGAATGAATAATAAAAACCTAAGACAGACTCAGAGAGCCTTGACACAGCTGGACTGGGATTGGTCATTAAATTAAAACAATTCACATGCTGTGTAAACAATTCTCCAAATCACATTCCAAAACAGCAAAACAAGGAGAAGCTGAAGAGATTTTTCAGAAAATATCATGGTGACATTCAAGTTTTCCCTTCCTAGATGAACTCAGAGGTTTTGAACCCTGTCTGCTCTGTGGTGTGGCTCCTGTGTCAGCTGAGGAGAGGGAGAGGCACTCACATGAAAGGCAACAAATGGCCAGAAGTTGTGTCCAGGGAGGTTCAGGTTGGATATTTGGAAAAGGTTCTTTACCCAGAGGGTGGCTGGGCACTGGAACAGGCTCCCCAGAGAAGGGGTCACAGCCTGACAGAGCTCAAGGAGTGTTTGGACAATGCTCTCAGGCACAGGGTGGGGCTCTTGGGATGGTCCTGTGAAGGGCTGGGATTTGGATTTGCTGATTCTTGTGGATCCCTTCCAACTTGGCTGAATCTGTGAAATGCCTCAGTGTCCCAATAGTGATGTAGGGGGTGGTGAGGCCCTGGCACAGCTTGCCCAGATGGCTGCCCCACCCCTGGAAACATTCAAGGCTGGGTTGGACAGGGCTCTGAACAACCTGATCCAGCTGAGGATATTCCTGCTCAGTGCTGGAGGATTGGAACTGGACCTGTAAATGTTCCTTGCAACCCAAAGCATTCCATGATTCTTTCACCCTTTCCATCCTTTAAGAAACAGCTCAAAGGCTGGAAGGACCATCTTGGAAGACTGCAACCACTAAAAACCATTTGATGCCCTGCCATGTCTGAGCTCCTTCTGTCAGTCCTGGGGCTCCTGTGTTTGGATTCCCAATCTAGAAGCTCTTGAGGATTCCTCAGTGAGGGTCAGCTGCACCCTCCCTCCCCTGATTCCTCTGGCTCTCCTGGGTGTGGGCATTTGTATGTCCCTGGAGTGGGGCTGTGCATCCCCCCTGCTTGCCCTGCACAGCCCAGAGCAGGGCTGGCTGCCACTCCTGGGCTGGAACCAAGCCCTCTGCAGCTCTGGTGTGGGCACAGGGGATGTTTGAAGGCTTTCCTACAGGTGGCTGCTTTGCAGAGCTTTGCAAACACTCGTGCTCTTTTCTTAATGCAGAAGACACAAAAAGATCTGAACAAAACTTTTGTGTCAAGAGTTCCATGATAGCTGCTTCCTTCTGGGGTTAGGTCAGGATTCTTGGGTTGTTCAGCATTTCCTTAGCTCCCAGCTTCTCATCTTGCTCTTTCTCACCTCATCCTTCCCACTGACTCTTCCACTCACTGCACTTTTCTGCTTTTCTTTTTTTTTTTTTCCAACAGAAGAGATCAACTTGCCCCTTTCTTTTTTTCCTTCCTCTGCATCTCTGTTAGACTCCTCCTAACACTTTGTTCATGTTGGAGAAAAAATGCTTCAACCCCAATTTCAGCTTCTAAACTGGATTTTGATGCTCTCTTTAAAGCATCTTGAGCTATTTCAGTTGAACAGGATCTTATCTGTTTTGTTACAATCTGATGTTTCTTGTTGGAAGGATACTTTAGGCCACTGTATTCAGGATGCATCAACTCCATAACACCAGTGAAACTTTGTGTGTAGGTGGCATCTCATTTAACACACACTGCTCCCTTCCTGTCCCTGTGTTCCTGATTCAGCAGATACCCAAGCATGTGCCTAATGTTAAACGCATCAATAAAAACACATTAATAACACATTAATAGGCCCTCTTTTGAAAGCTAATTCAGGGGAAATTTGCTAACCCTGTGGAAATTTGCTGACCCTGTGCCCAGATGTGCAATCTTCACAATCTTCGTCTGAACCTGCATTTTTGACATGGAGGCGCACAAGCCATTGTGTTGCCTGGGCCATCACCAGTGGCTCCCTGGAACCCTGGCACAGGGAGAAGGAATCTCACCAAAATCTGCATTTATACAAGTCTGGCAGCGCAGAGGATCCTCCCAGGCCAAGATGTGCTCAGTGTGTGGCTGTACCAACCACAGCAATGCACCCTGGAGGTGTAAATCAGACTCACAGACTTGCCTGGAGAGCCACATTGTCCCCAGCACTCAGGCAAAGCAGGGCTCAGCCACCTCCTGCTTGCAGTTGCTCTTCCAAGTGTTTCCCCCCAAGGGTTGGTGCCTGCACATCCTCCCAGCCTCTCCATCTTCACAGCCACAGGAAGACTCCTCAGGAGCTGCTCAGGAATCACTTGGCATAAGGGAAAGCATCTGTTAACAATGAGGCAGCTCAGCACCATTTCTGGGATGGATCCTCTGCAGGAATTTGTTACAGCCCAGAGTTCTCTGGTGCTGTGGCTGGAGAGAGGAGACTTCAGCCCCTCTTCAGCCTGGATTCAGCTTGAAAAAAACAATGTAGACACTGGCAGAGAGAAATCAGGCCAGCTTTTGAAACAGTTTAAGAATGAGCATCTTGTTAATGACTGTGAGGATGTCATCACTAATCTGTGTCAGAAATTGGGCCCTTCTGCTCTCCAAAGTCTGCCCATGTCCTGACAAACTGCTCCAGGCCGGTGGCTGAAGTGATGCCATGGTCTGATTTGGGCTTTCCACCTCCTTTCCCAACAGTCCAGATCCAGAGCAGAGATGCCATTCCCTCCCCATTCCTTTGCCTGATTCACCTCTTTGTGTGGCCACACAAGGCTGAACCCGTGCAATGGGTTTGGGTTGAAAAGGGCAAGGAAAAGGCAGGGGAGTGTTTCCTTTAGTGTGTGCACACATGAGTGAATTGCTGATGTGAAGCTGCATCATCACACAACAGCCCGTGAGGCTGCTGCATCCCAGACCAGAACTTTTGGGGCAGAACAGGGGTAAATGAGCAATGGGAGGAAGGGAGGGAAAAAATTGCAGAGGGAAATGGCACAGGGCTACAAAGAGAGACACCTTCACAAGGTGCCCGAAGTTAACTGAGATGAATCAAGGTGAAACAGGTTATGTAACTGCCACAACATTAAAAATAGGTTATGGTGTATATTAAGATTTCATTTATGAATTGTTTATAAAACATTCATAAATGTTAGATGTGGCAAGCACGTTCTGCACACAAACACTTTGTGTTCCAGTGTTATCGATGGCTGTGTCCACAGCAGCTGCAGGAGTTATAGATGGTGAAATCACAGCTCTGAGACCTGCAGGTCAATAGCAATACACCATAAATGATTCATCAATCACCTCAACATATATCAAGGAATGATGTGCTCTTTGTAACTGGAGCCTTAATATGAAGTGTGACCTTAGGAACTGTGAAACAGGGAACTTTTGCCCCTTTCATCCTTTTTTTTTTTTG